ATCATCATCAGCAGCACCACCATCGGCATCGTCGCGTTACGAGCTCCTGAATCGTAATGTTCATGTGCTGCTGTCCTGAGCGAATGTGGCATTTCGTCCGATTATTTTTTATGGGGGGGGGGAGAGGCGGGGGGCACATAGCGGTGGTGTCTCTTACGGGCGACAGGGCAGATTGCCAAGGCGGTGATGCGTGTTTCAACCAAAGACAAAGACCCCCTCCCGGTATAGCCTCTAAACGACTGTTGGGGCAAGTGCTGTCATTTGTAAGCGAGCAGCGATCACGGCTGGCTGCCAACACCACGCCCGGGCCGCCTTTGTCTCCTCGGTTCTGATGTTTACACATCGCGTCAGGTACCCTCTTAAGGCTGAGTGGACCTAGCGGAACCCCCGAGAGCAGTTCGAATATTCGCTGTCGGTGTTATTGCTGGTCGTGAGCGGGAATCGAAGTCTGGTCGCCGGATTTGGAGCGCAGTGCGCTAACTACAGCGCCACCGATCCCCCACACATATATACATACACACATATATATACATACACACATACACGTTTAAAATGCTGTATATGTACTTTAAACACAGAAAATGCACGGTGCGGATTGTATGTCCAGTATATCAATGTTCATGGATTTATGTTCAGTTGTATATGGAGATGTCAACAGATAAACATTTAAATGACACAATGCAATGTTTGTGTACACGGCATTTATATATATGTGTGTGCAGGACCGACACTCATAGCATATTCGGGCTGTTTGATTTTGATATATACGTGGCTGTAGCATAACAATACATAACATTAACAAATATATTGCGGATTTTCGAAAATAGTTCTTGTAAAAATAATTGCAGTTATTCCGTAATATTAATAATGGTAATATCATGTTGATGTTGCATATACATATATACGAGAAGAGGCTACATCAGCCTGAGTTATAAATAACAATGTTGTTATTTGGTATAGAGATGTTAATATTGTATAGCTCGTAATTAATTACTTTCAAATCAAGATTAATTACTTTAGATTTCAACACGTTTACGTTCAGAAGAAAAATCCGCGGATTATTTATTTGAAACAACAATTACAATAATTAGCTAAACAATCCCCCGGATTGCAAACGACACTCTTTAATTATCGTTTTCATGAATGCGTAAACCAACGTGTGTAGGTTATAAGTAGGCGCAAAGGAAGATTAATTTACTCGTAAAATACAATAGCGAGAAATGTAATTGGTCTCGCCCGGTCTCCAATTAAGGACATCACTATCAACAAAATGTATTACGACTAATCCACCCGTAATGTTTGATTCATCTCGACGTTGGCTAATTGCTACACGGCAGGCATGAGCATGTATTTATCCCAAACTAATAACAAACGAAATAAATTATTCACAAAGAGGCGAGAGCTAATGGAAGACAGCGTGGCTATATGAGGGGAAGTCAAATTGGTCAACAACACCGTCTGAAGAGAAAACGGATATCAGATTCGACGTTTCGGGGGATGCTCCTTCTACGCAGCACCGAGAGAGAGAGAGGCCAGAGTTTGTGTTGCGCCTTGCTCGTGCATCACTTTGCCGACGCAGTCACACGATTCTTCATCTATTCAGATAGATCTCGGATCAGAATCAGGATATGTATTTGTACAGGAGGAATCCGATGAGCTATGTACATCTCGTCCTTCCACAGGTGTCCAGGGGATCAACACGAGTTGTCGATTAAAAATAAAGTATTACAGAGAACGCAATACTTTCATAACAAGTATCACCATCATCACTGCCATCGGTAACTGTTGTCTATCCACTGCTGGATGAAGAAGGCTCTCCCCCCCCCCCGAATACAATGGCCCCCCGTATAGCCTGTAACAGACTGCTCAGTCAAACGCTGTTAGCGAGCACCTATGAAGGCCGGCACGGCACGCGAGGGGGTGGGTGGCCAGGACCACGCCCGGCCGCCTTTCTCTCCCTAGTGGCGATGTTTACTACACACCACATCAGGTACTCATTTGAGGCTGAGTCGACCTAGGGGAGGCCCAGGACGGGTTCAAATAATTGTCACCGGTGTTCGCCGAGATCGTAGCGCAGCGCCCTAGCCGCTCCACCACCGCTCCCCACCCAATCCAGACAGTCGCAAGCGACACAATCACAACAGCAACGAACGTGACAGCCCTTTGTCAATCCACTGCTGGATAATGGTTTCCCAATTCCGGGGCTGTTTGGCCATACTTCACCACGCAGGTCAGTGGAGTGATGCGTCCGGGATCGGTTCAGGTAGCTATCAATCACCGCTGATGTTATCCGAGGTAGGGAATCAGTGTCGCCAGGTCTACAGCCTGGTGCGCTAACCACTAGGAAATACCAGGTCACACCTAATACGAATCACCCATTCATCGCGATACTAAGCGCGTGTTTACCCAGTGAACATGATTTCATTGCAATAATACTTCCTTGCAAAGAAATGCTATTTAACGATGTTAATAAATACGGCAGCGCGCACGTGTTGTGTGGGGAACGAGCGAGTTTTGTGTCTGCGCATGCACGTACAGTACATACGGTAGATGAGAATATGACTGGGATTCGTGCAAAATGTTCCGAGAGCGATGTATGAAACACTCCAACTCTTGAATATCGTTGCGGGAGGCGAGCAAACCCAGAGTCCCGGGAGAAAATCCACGCACAAGAGAGGAGAACGCTGAAATCACGCTTGCTGTAGCAACCTGCTTGCTGCACTGCCTTCTGCATCTCATCTAATCGGAAAACAACGCGACAGTACAATTGACATCGGCTGGAAAACAAAGTCAACGCGACTTTTAGTGTGTGCGCATACAGCTATGTCAAATTGTATTTTTTGCCAGTCTTTCGCTTTTCTCTCATATTTTCCTTTTAGAATGTTTTGCTCCAACCCAGGTCTCCCTTGCAAAAGGCAATTAATAGTCTCAATGTGTCTCCCTCGGTACAAAGTGCTGCCTGTAATTATGTTAGACCCCCCTCCCGCCCGTTCCCACCCCTCCCCCTCCACCAAATTATAATAATTCACCATCACCACCATCACCACCATCACCACGATACCGCCATAATGAACATTAGCTTGGGTTCGCATGCGAACTGGTCAATTGCACGGTTAAGGGGACTTCCAAAGCTGCCACGGAGAGTTACGATCGCTTCATTTACAGGACTACCGCCTGAGCACCGATTATTACACTCAGATCGATAATTAGACTCCCACCGATTACATTATTAGACTCTCAACCCCGCGTGTTGTGCCACTGCGAGTCGGAGTGAATCCCGTGTGGTCACCTGTAAAACTAGAAACTGTTTTATTTTATTTTGCCAGGTAACCAGGTCAGGTCCACTGAGCTACATCGCTATTTTACAGAAGCGACTCGGCTGTCACAAATGACAGTCCGAAGAAGCGGCTCATCATCATCACCACGTGGAGTTGTATGGTAGCAGCCAAATACCCTGGACACGTGATGTTGATTTTTAATGTGGAGGGAAAAGCCGGAGGACCCGGAGAAAAATCCACGCGACCACGGGGATAGAGAGAGACACGCAAACTCCAAACATAGAGCTGGCGTTTTAGGGTCGAGATCGAACCCACGACCTCCTGTATACCATGCGAGGTAGTTAACATCTCCCCGCCGTGTAATTCTGTTGCCGTGAGAATCGGCCGTGTAAATCACGCAGTATAAGCCAACGTTTCGGGCAGTGGTCCTTATTCAGGACAGACTCGTGACGACGATAGCAACACGCGCTTGCAATTCCGCGGTTTTCAATAGTTCGTGTTTTCGGTTCAATACAAAAAATAAGATTGCATGCTGCTGTAAATCTATATTTCACAGCGGAAATATATCTAATCCCTTACAGACCTCGTTGTAAATAAAGGGCATGATTATAATGGTGATGGTGACTGATGATGTTTGGTGACTGATGGTGGATGATGATGATAGTAATATAGACGTGGTGTATAAATCGATGCCACTGACCAGCGTTTGAGTCTTGTGGACTGATTCTCGCACCGCGCCGTGAGTTCTTACAAACAACCCCTTGGCCGTGGTCAAAACAGTGGATAAGTTTAGTCAATTAAAATAGCATACACAAATTACAATTAACTACTTGAAGAGCATTTATGTGTTTTTTTATCCATACCCTATGTTTTTCTGTTACTTCAGGACGCGTATTCAACACCACGAGTGGAGGGTCGCAAAACTGAATCGTTCCCTTGGCGTTCGCGCTCGAAACCCTGCAGGCGCATTGACGAGCGCGCCACTGCCCCTGTTCATATTAATTAATCAATTAACATCTGACTCAAGCAATTCATTGACACGCGCTCGTTAAGATTGCAGCATCGTCACGCGTCGGACCGCGAGAGAGGGCGACGGCTGGGGTAGGCCTTCATCCAGCAGTGGATCGATCACGGCTCACGGTGAATGCGTAAGTACAGTGTACGTATGTTGAACTTCTTTCGCGCCGTACGTAGCCAACCGCACGTGCTGGGGGTGAAAGGGCAACGGCCTAAACAGAAATATGGACGAGGGTTTTGTGTCACCATATTCAGTGAACGTGTTGCTGTTGAGTGTCATCCGCAACTTTGACAGGTGTCTCTGATGGTTGATGCTCTTCCTTGTACACAGCCTCTAGAAGTGGACATCTACATTTAAAAGAAAAATCTAAATCGCCATCATGATGGTTGACAGTGATTCATTTCGGCCAGGAAACGCTCTTGCAGGAATTATTTTGGAACGACACATTCAACTCGCATTATTTTCTCCTTAGCATCTGCAAATTTTTAAAAGATTCAACCCGTTCATAGGAATAGAGCGTACAATAACACAGGATTACTTTGAATAGGCGTACCTTGCAATCGAGTGGCAGTGCCTTACGCCGCGAATGCGTACCATCGCAGCGTTCCAGAAAATATCGCGTGAGAAATTAATCGTTCACGATTGATGATAACGAATGATGACGGATGATAATGACGCAATCAAACGAATAAGCGAGAACTCACGTATCGCAGCCACCAGCCCCGTGTCGGACATAGCAGCTCAGAAATCCAGGTAGCAGCCGGGAGAGCGTTCGCCCACAGCGAGCGCGACGCGTGGAGTTAGTTCCAAACTCCTAGCAGGTCTTGGCGCGATTCAGCCCTCCCTGACCCAACCTGACAATCGCCACCTCCCCACGCACCCACCCACCCACCCACGATCTACTTCTTTCCAAGAGACGCGGACGCCGCCGCTGTGAGCGTGGGTCGCGTGTGTTGAGTGAGCGTGAGTGCGCGGGCACGACCCAGACGCGACTCTTCCCTGGCCCCCTCCTCCTCCACCGCCTCCTCCTCCTCCACCGCCTCCTCCTCCTCCACCGCCTCGCTCACTCCGGGGCGGGGCATGGAGGGAGACGACGCGAGGAAAATCCAGCCCCGACTCAAGCCCGCACTCCCATTGGTCGGCTCGTACGTAAATATTAATTAGATTAGGGGTGGGGGGGGGCGCATGAAGTGACTCGCCCCTAACCCTCCCCCCCGAACACCTCCCTAACGATGACATAAGGTTCACGTGCGCGCGTGCGGATGAGCGGCGCGTGTGTTGTGTGGCGCAAGCTGCGTTGTGTGTCGTTCCGGCCTTCATAGGTGCTACTCGCGAACAGCACTTGCCCCAACGGCCTGTTGCGGCTACACGCGGGATCTTTGTCTTTGTTGTTGGCCGGGCGTGGTGCCGACCACCCACCCCCTCTCGTGTGCCTTCATATGTGCTCGCTGACAGCACTTGCCCCAAAAGTCTGTGAAGGCTATACGGGGGAGCTTTGTCTTGGGTCTCAGAACACCCGAGTTCGATTGAAACTCACGGCCAACATCAGTGACGAGTATGCTGAAACGGTCCTGGGCCTTCCTTAAGTCGACTCAGCCTCAAACGAGTACCTGGTGCGATGTGTAAACATCACCAAATTATTCTATTGCTCACGCGGCCAGGTATAATTAATCACGTGAACGGGAAGTGACTCATTCTCCCCTGCTGCAGCCACAGCCTGGAACTGCCTTCCCGCAGCCATCTGTGTTGTCGAAACCCTGTCGCTGTTTACATCTAGGTCCAAGACCTCACTCTTCTCGACTGCCTATGACTGACCTGTCTCTCTTTAATCAGAATCTGTATTCATCCTGGAGAAATACGATGGACTACAAAGCTCCTTTTCCACAGATTGTCCATCCGGGGCGGGTAAGAAAGTCACAACAGCAAACGATACAAAAACACGATAGGAGTGCAAAATTTCGGAAACGTAAGACGATCACAAACAATAAGTAAATATAATAGATAAAGTGTAGAAGTGCGATATTGCATAGGTCCGCCAATTCCCAAGTGTGGGCAAGGCAGCAAAGCAACCGCAAAAGCAGCCCCAGACCACACCAAGACTACAAACAGCGCCCTCAATACAATTGCACATTAAAACACACCCTATCTCTCCCTCTATATTTAACTACACAGTATTAATAAAGTATCCCCACTGTGTCTGTACAGCGTCCTGAGATACGGTCGCATTTAGACATCGCTATGCAAGTCCACGCTGTACACTGCTATTGTGGTACCTGAACTGTATAACCCAACCGTGCACGTGGAGAATGCCACCTTATATCAAGGCCGTAATTATAATATATATATTGGGAGGAGGGGGACACATCCCCCCTCCCCCCAATATTCAAATATGCTCAAAATGTCCCCCCCCCCCCCAATATATTGCTATAAAATATAGTTATGTTTATATGACTGTGGTTATGGTTGTACTTTATTAATCCATAATCTCTGCCATTACATACAATGAATCATGAAAAAGTAAGAAAGAAAAAACAGAGCAATGTAATACAATAAACTATTAGACATTATTGTAAAAAATGAAATTAAAGTCCATCCCATGTGTTCGTAATTTTTTTTTATATTTTAGGCAGGAAATTTTTTTCAAGTTTAGATTTTTTCTGGGGGGGGGGGGACTCCCAGACCCCTGGAAGATTTGGTCCCCCCCAATGTTGACTCCACGACTACGGCCTTGCCTTATATACTTGATCTTCTTGATCCTATGTATGTATGTTTGTTTGTTTGTTTTTTGTTATTTTCTTTCCTTTCCTATACCTTGCACTCTGGCCGTTTCTTACACTGCTTCTTGTTCTTGTTGTTGGAACTTTCTGCAGCCGCCCTTGCTGGACCTGTGTGGGAAAAGAGCGTCACAGCTGATCGGATGTATCCACGATAAATATTCTGATTCTGTTACAGGAACCGGTCCTGAGACCTCCTCCACTGCACCACCTACAGGAGCAGCTCAGAGACGCTACAGTTCAACGATTGTCTCCAGGGGATTGCAGTACTGTATATTATTCACACACTTATGTATCTGAAACATGATACTTGAGTTATGCTGACGTCGGTAGGTGGAGGGGGAGATGAACAGGTAGGTATGGGGTCGAGCTTGGAAGGTCAAACTGTCGTTAGAGATCAAACGGGAGGTAGATCGTCAGCCATGGTTTATCCACTGCTGGATGAAAGCCTCCCCAAGCTGTTGCCGTGAAGCAGCAATCCATCAATCGTAGCCGAGCGCTGGTGGCTCTGCACGTGGCTGCCTGCGACTCAGCGCCGTGGAGACAGCGGCGGCGGTGTGGTGGCTCACACAAAGGTTGCGAAACTTCCATCCCGTGAGCGTTGAGGAGGTGCCCTTCCCTGGGCTCGCCAGGAGACTTTTGACTTTTAAACAACTTTTATTGCCGCCAGTAGCAAAAGCACTGGAGACGATTTCGATATTAAATACACAGTCACCAGCAAACAAATGAAAATAAACGCTACAAATCCACGCGCTGTGGCGCTAAAAGCACCGCGCACAACACGAAAGAAAAGTCACATGGTGGTGGTGGTTGTGGTGGTCATCGCGCACGCCACGGTGACGAGCGAGCGCTTCACAAGGTGAACACGAGGGTGCCGTCCACGCTGGTACAGAGGGCTTTTCCGGCTCCCCAGCGTTCGAAGAAGACGTGCACATCACCGACATGTGGTCCAGCAAAGTACGGACTTCATGCCATCTAGTTTCCTGCTGACATGGGATAGAGTGTTGTTCCCTCGCACGCGCGGGTCTTCTCCGGGTGCTCATGAATCGGCTCAACGACATCTTCTCAATCCGTGCGCGCCTTCGTGTGTTGGGGATTACGCAACGGCGTGTGATGATGCAGTTGCGTAAATGACGCCGCTTTGAGTACGAACGCCATCGGATTTGAGGTTGATGTTATTTTTCGATTTAAAGCTTTCGTGACTGCAGCGATTAATCTTCTTGGTTCTTTCGGTAAAGTCACGTAGAAGGGAAATAATAAAATAATAAACATAAAACATAATAAAATACAATTCTCACTGATTGGTATTACCTTAGAGTCGCGGAATCTCTTCAGAAAGGTGAGAGACTCGATTAGCTGAGCCTTCTTATCCCGGAGTTTGTTGAAGGATCTCAAAGTTATGTGGAATCCCTCCCCGTAGAGGCGGTTAAATTTCGATTTAAAGCTTTCGTGACTGCAGGGATTCATCTTCTTGGTTCTTTCGGTAAAGTCACGTAGAAGGGAAATAATAAAATAATAAACATAACACATAATAAAATACAATTTTCAAATACAATGTGAGAATTGTATTTTATTATGTTAAATGTTTATTATTTAATTATTTCCCTTATCTTTATTATTTTATTATTCTCAAATACAATGTGAGATTTGTATTTTATTATGTTTTATGTTTATTATTGTATTATTTCCCTTCTACGTGACTTTACCGAAAGAACCAAGAAGATGATGTTACTGTTATTATTATTGTCAAGCGCCTGCACACGAGCTCATCTCATCGCGACGGAATTCTTCTCGGCCGCGTGTCCCACTTGGTGCACGAGTCAGCTAGTTCAGGGTCTGGCCTGACTGCTCTAACGCAGGAGATCCCCTGGGTTTGATCATCCACGAAGTTCATGGTCAATCCTAAACCGCAACCACTGCACGAACCATGGCAGATGCGGATACCTGATGCACAAATTGAACATTTTAAACAACTCTCCAGTAGAAGCGGTGCGACTGTGCTCATCCAGAACGGACCGTGCAACGGAAAACGACGCGATGCACCGATGCACAAATATACGAAGGGAGACATCGCAACGATGATACACCACTCCGCTCCTCCTGACGGCGGTTGTCTGGCTTGGCCACATGATTTGTGGCAATTGCAGTTGTTACTCTGCATCGACATCAGCAGACGTACGGCAACTAAAAAAATAGGGGGTGGGGGGGGGCTCAGGCCACGAGGTTCGTGGAGACTCCGGGAGCGGCAAAATGCCACGTGGGACCGCCTCATCCATTAGCGACCGAACAAACACAGCCCCTCCCACACACCCCGTTATGGGAGCCCTCTTTTGTGTGAGGTCCGGTTAAATTGCCCCCCTTTGCCCCCCCTCCTCCTCCTCCACGCACACCCCACCTCTCTGGGCGGTCCTGGCTACAATTACCATTTACGCATGGGCGCACACAGGTACACAAACACGTACACGCAAAATAAATGTCTACTGACCACTCCATTCATTGCGCGCTCGTATTTTGTATTGTGTGGCAGTAGTGGTAGTGGGGTGCGTGTGTGTGTCTTTGTGTTTCACACACACCGCTACACTACCAGCGGTTAGCGCGCTGCGCTCCGAACCCGGCGACCCGCGTTCGATTCCCGCTCACAGCCAACACAAGTGACGATTATATAAACCAGTCCTAACCCTCCCCTAGGTCGACTCAGCCTAAACATTGGTACCTGGTGCGGTGTGTAAACATCGCCACTGGGGAGACAAAGGCGGTCGGGTGTGCTGAATGCCACCCACCCCCTCGTGTGCCGTGCTGGCCTCCATAGGTGCTCGCTAACAGCACGTGTCCCAACAGTCTGTTACAGGCCACACGGGGGACAATATGTCTTTGTTATTTTTTTGGTTTCTCTTTTTGTCAAATAATAAAGGTCGTCGCGATGCCCTCTCCGGGGTCTGTGGCTTCGCGCGCGCCCCCCGCCACCCCCTTTGTCCGCCACACGCACGGGGGGCCGAGTCGCCTTGTCAGCGGGTGATTTGTCAACCCGTTTTCAAGTGGCCAGAACACAACACACACACACACAAAACACGCGCCCGCGCGCGCGTAGATATGCGTGGCC